TTTATTAGTTTATTATAATTAATTAGTTAATATTTACAGTAAATATAAAAAATAAAATAAAAATAATAATAGTTAATAAATAAGTAAATAGTTAAATAAATAATAAATTAGTTTATTTAGTATAATTGTAATAAAAATGAAGAACGTATCAATTCAAAATTCCATTAACTAATTGATTTCATTATACAAATTGAGATGAAGCACAATTGACCAAAATACATTTGACTATGCAATCTAATATTGTAATGATCTGCAGAATATAATGAATCCATAGACAGGGATTATCACGATTGACCTTTCATACCTTGAATTCAATCATCTCTATCAAAGTAAATGAAAGAAAGAAATACGTTTTCCAGACCCTTCACCGCTTAGCTCCTAACTAGAATCGACTAGAGTGAGTTTTCAATTCGTTCACAACAAAGTGTTACAAATTTCAAACACCCCATCGTCCTTCAACCCCTTCTCGGACCGTATTGTCCGTGTCACGAGCCTCGGTGAAACGCGTTTCACACGCGTAACCCTTCGCACACAGCGCAGAAAATTTTAAACTCGGAAAGGGTCCGGTTACTTATTTATTATCCCATTTAGCTTGTTATCGTCATTGTACGCCGAGAATCATCGAGAGACCGCGTTTACCCTTTCAATTCGCGATCTCGATGGAACTTGTTTAAAAAATATTCTTTGCGCAATTTTGAGATTTTTCTCCGACCGATATATGAAACATAGTTACGATGCTGCGATTCGGAGGGTTTCGAAATAGAAAACAATAGAGATTGGAGAGAGCGATCGGGGAGAGGAGCCGCTCGTAAAATTCAACGTAACGGACGAACGGACCGACGCGTCCGATGAAAATCGAGAAAACTCGTGGAAACTCATAAACCACGTAATCCCTCGTAAACCGTGCGCCTTATCCCGGTCGCTCTGCGACGATAACTTATCCCTCGACGATGAGAGGGTGAATTTGATGAGAGAGAGAGAGCAGGAACCGAGTCAAGAAATTACGGATCCGTCGGTGGAACAGTTGAAAAAAATACTACCGCCGTTATTCGACGAACATGAATAAAAAATTTATGAAATTGAACAAACATTCGGAATTTCGCTATTTGGGAGACTCGTCCGGGAATCGATGGAGCAATTTAACCGCGAGAAGGGTCGAGAAATCCGTGGAATCGAGGCTTGCTATCAGATAGCTTCGCCCTTAACGTCCTCCTTCGAGACGGGATCCTAGCAGACCCCCCGAGCCCTCTCCCCTTTTCCCTGCATCGCACACGCCACCGTTATCACGTACGATCTCGAGAAAATCCCGTGGAATTCCAGAGCGAAGCTTGACCACGATCTCCGAGAGCCAATAGTCGTTCCCATTGATTTACATTCCTAAACGCGAGCCCTACTCCTTAACACTAGATTGCCCAAGGAAGTAATTTTG